ACCTAGAGGTTATTATGCTGAGTGAAATAAGTCAGACAGAGAAAGATAAATACCATATGATTTCACTTATATGTGGAATCTAAGAAACAAAAAGCATAAACTAATCAAAAACAGACACAAATATAGAAGACAATCTGGTGACAGACAATGAGGAGGGGGCGTTGGGGGACCGGGAGAATGGGGTGAAGGGTTAAAGAAGTACAAATTAGTAGTTGATAGATGGTCACGAGGATGAGGAATATGGCATAGGGAATGCAGTTAGCATTAATATATTAGCTAGGTAGAAAACCAGAGGAGAGAAGGAGCAATTAGGGGGATCATTTTATAAACTATATAAATGTCTAACCAATGTATTGTATGCTTGAAACTAATTAAAATAAATAAACATTTTAAAAAATCTATTACCTTTGTAATCAGAAAAAAATAATATTTTAAAAAGATAACTTTACAATTTCTTTTTACAGGAGATTACATGCTTGATGCAAAGCCAAAAGAAATTTCAGAAATTCAACGTTTAAACTATGAGCAGGTAATAGGAATAATTTTTTGTCACATTAAAATATGTAATTTTTAACCAATGGATGTATGTATTCATGGGTCTCTATCAGTGGCTGCTCTCAGTTTTATATGAATATACATGCTATATAGAATGAAGCATAGATATCATTCTACAGGACTATGTAGAATGATAACCTGGTATTTTCCTGGTAAAATTGACTTTCAAGTGATTTTGTCATTGATTCATTTTTCCTCATTTTAGTTATTTTTATTTTATAATTAAGTTATGTTTAGGAGAAAGTCGAGCAAATTATTTCTAGGATATATCATTAGAACAGTTAGGACTCTGCTGTTTCGTAGTTTCACTGTGTCCACATTTCTTAGTGTGTTCTTCAGAGATTCTGTTCTGTAATATAGGAGGGATTACTAGGCTCAAAATGATCAGAAAGAACAGAACGCAAGCAGAGCATCCTTTTCTTCAGTGTTCTTCCTTTAACAGTAGAAGGCAAGAAGAAATCAGGTACTTATAGTGGAAGGAAGTCTCAACCAGAGAAGAAATAGACATCATTGGAACCTTTATATTTACTTTCAAAGCTTTTTTATATACTTTTACTAATATCAATTTCCAAAAAGGGAGCAAAACTCATTTCAAAATTTCAAAATTTCTTGAATTTAAATGTCTAAATAATCTAGTCCTAATAGAATAGAAAAGCTAACATGTTGCATTGCATCACTGTGTAAGGTAAGAAATCTGTATCTAAAGCCAAATTGATACGCTAAATCGTTTACATTCTATTGAAATTTGTAGCTTAAAGCAATGATTTCTAAAGATTTTTTGCAATAGAAACCTCTTTTCAAATAAAATCTTATGATAACCTCCAATATATAAAACCAGTAAATGATATTTTATAAGATGATACAGTTCAATTTCTATTATTTATCAAATTTATGTCATTTCTTACTGAAATCAGTGAGGCTGTTTTGATTAATATGAAAACTTGAAATTAGAAATTATGGATGATAGTTGTAATTTCAACTCAATCTCAAAATTCACTTTACTTCTGTTGCACAGTCTTGAGAAAATCTAAATATCAGCATTTTGTTTGTTTCAAGTCCATCTTGCAGTCTCAGGATACGCTTCCATTAAGGTGATGTAATCTTGAAAAATGGTTGAAAGTAAAATTCTGTTTCAAAGTTGAAACAAACAATATCTAACAACTGCTTGCATTTCTTATAAACATGGCAGACAAAAGTACCCTGCATTTAAAATAAGCTCTAAAACTATAAGGTATTATGATTACATTACCATTAGCTTTGAGAGTAGTATGTAACAAGCTATTATAGCTGAGTATAAGCTGGTATTTAATGTTCCACAGGCATGATATAATAGTGTGTTTTTTTGTATAATTTTATGTGAGCAGAAATGTTCAAGCTTAAATTTTTGGAAGACCAATGCAGAGTTGCCATCTTCCTAATTAAAACCTCTTTACTAGAAGTTATAATGTAAAAAAGAGCATATTTTCCCAGTTTTACTTAATGATAGATACCCTGACAACCCAAGAAAACACTATGTTTGTGTTTATGACAGGTTTTTAAATGACTACAAATATTTATATTTGGATTAAAACTATTTCACCATGTTAGAAGTACTTTTGAGAAAAATTCTAAAAGTTTTACCAGTGGCTTAAAGGAATCAATAATAATTCTTGTGAAGTAAGCAACTATTCCTAGGATCTGTATTTTATAATATTATCATAATTTGGATTTAGGAACAGAATGACAAAAATCTTAACCTTTTTAAACTCTTTGTTTATAAATTTGTTTATTTATATTATATTTATTAATTTTTATGGAGACTATCAAACAGTATTTACTTAGTTGTTTTAATACTATATAATTATAAGAAAGAGGGGAAACTGATGAAAGCCAAAGACTATTTAACGATGTTATCTTGTTATAAATTACTCATTCATAAATTATAAATATTTTAGTAATTTCTGTTGTCAGTTTGTCCAGTCTCATAGAATGGAATTTTATCTGTTATTTAGTAAAACAGAACTTTGTTCTTTTGACCTAAATTTGTCTTTTTCAGATTTCAGAGAGTCCTGAGTTTTAATATAAAATGATTTATTTCATGTCCACCTTTTCTACTATGAGCTCTCCAGGAGGCTATAGTCTGCTCCTATTTTATATCTTCAGTATGTAGCACAGTGTCTGATTAACAGTAGGGATTCAGTAAAATTTTATTAAATTTTATATATTGGCTTTTTTGTTTCACCCTATTTAATGTAAAAAAAATACTTAGAAAAACATGTTTTAAAATATTCTTTATTACAGACTTGTGTGACCATATTTATTGAGAAAACTGATGTAGACAGAATGATTCTTTAATTTGGTCAACAAGTCTTTGTAATCCAGCCTCTGTTTCCTTTAGACTTCATCTCCTACCACTTTCCACTTTGTTTATTTTGTTCTAACCATGCTGGACTCCTTGCTGTTCTACATGGACAGTTTTGAATTCATTTCTGCATCAGAGTTTTTGCACTCATGTCCACTTTGTTTGGAATGCGTTTTTCCCCGAGCTTCCCAAGACTCAATATTTTGCTTGGTTACTAATGGTCACTATGTAAATGTCTTTCTTAAAGAGACCTCCTTTTTTTTTTAAGCAGTTTAAGGTCATAGCAAAATTGAGTAGAAAGTAAGAGAGTTCTCATATACGGCCTATCCCCCAATACACACACACAACATCCCGCTATATCAATATCCAGTACCAGAGTGATACATTTATTATAATTGATGAACCTACATTGACACATAATACCCAAAGTTCATAGTTTACATTAGGGTTCACTCTTGGTGTTATATATTCTGTGGGTTTGGACAAATGTATAATGCCATGTATTCACCATTATAGTATCCTACAGAATAGTTTCACTGCCCTAAAAATCCTGTATGCTCTGCCTATACATCCCTCCCTCCTCCTAACCTCTGGCAATCACTGATCTTTTTACTGTTTCCGTCATTTTGCTTTTTCCACAATGTCATTTGGAATCATACAGCATATCGCCATTTCAGACTAGCTTCTTTCACGTAGTGATATATATTTATATTTCCTTCATATCTGTTCATGGATTGATAGCTCATTTGTTTTTCTTTTTTTCTTTTTATGGTTAAAAAACATAACATGAAATTTACTTTCCTAACCATTTTTAAATGTATAATTCAGTAGTGTTAACTGTATTCACATTGTTTTATAAACAGATCTCTAGAACATTTTCATCTTGTAAAACTGAAACTCTATACCCATCGAACAGTTCCCCAGCTCTTCCTCCCTCCAGCCCAACAACCACCATTCTACTTTCTGTTTCCATGATTTTGACAACTCTAGGTAGCTCGTATAATTGATATGATGCAGTATTTGCAACAGCTTATTTCATTCAGCATAATGTTCTCAAGTTTCATCCATATTGTAGCAGGTAATAGGATTTCTTTCTTTTTTTTAAGGCTGGATAATATTACATTGTATGTGTATACCACATTTTCTTTATCTGTCAATGGACAGTTAGGCTACCTCTGCCTTTTGAATAATGCTGCAGTGAACGTGGGTATACAAATATCTCTTCAAGGTACTGTTTTCAGTTCCTCTGGATATATGCCTAGAAATGGGAGAGGCTTTTCTCTTTGACTGGAAATTTTTGTCTTTTGGCTTTCTGTTCTAAAATAGGTTCTTCACCCCATCACTCTGTACATCCTTATCCTGCTCAATTTCTCTTACCAATACTTGACATTATATTACATATTTACATATTGTCTCTCACAGTAGAATGTTAGTTGCATGAGATCAGGAACTTTGTCTATTTTATTCACTATTATATATTTAGAACTGAGATTAGTGCCTGGCACATAGTATACTGGTACTTAATAATAAAAATTGAAGAGATGAATAAATTAGACAAAATGGAAAATTAGAAGTAAATGTGCTTGCATTTAAATATCTTTGCTTTTTTATTTTTCTAATTTTTACCCTTTCCCTTTCTGTTTTTAGAATATGAGTGATGCTATGGCAATCTTGCACAAACTACAGACAGGCTTGGATGTAAATGTAAAATTCACTGGTGTTCGAGTGTTTGAATATACACCAGAGTGCATAGTATTTGATCTTCTTGATATTCCTTTGTACCATGGGTGGTTAGTGGATCCTCAGGTAAGTAGAAAATATTAAATTATATAAACATAGGTGTAGTAAAATTTTATTAATTTGGCAAATTAATCTAGATTTATATTTTCCGATACTTATATTTTTCTATTTTTACCTGGAATTAGCCAAATTGTGAGGTTAAGGGCACAGTCCTCCAGACTGCTAAATCTGCCCAAGACTGCTTAATGTAACTTTATGGAGTTGGAACCACATCCTCACCAACACTTATTATTATCTGTCTTTAGATTGATTATAGTCATCCTAATAGGTGTAAAGTCATATCTCATTATGGATTTGTTTGCATTCCTCTGATGACTAATGATGTCGAGCATCTTTTCATGTGCTTAATGACCATTTCTATATCTTGTTTGAAGAAATGTCTGCAGATCCCTTGCCCATTTTTAATTGGGCTGTTTATCTTTTTGCTATGGTGTTGTGAGAGTTCTTTATATATTTTAGGTATACCTCTCTTATCCAGTATGTGATTTGCAAGTATTTTCTCCCATTCTGTGGGTTGTCTTCATTTTCTTGATGGTATCCTTTGAAAGACAAAAGTTTCTGATTTTCATAAAGTTCAGTTTATCTATTTTTTCTTTTGTTGCTTATGCTTTTGGTGTCCTACCTAAGAAGGCTTTGCCTAATCCAAAATCACAAATATTTACTCTTGTATCTTCTTTTATAGTTTTAATGCTTAGGTTTAGGATTACGACCCATTTTGAGTTGATTTTTGTATCTGGTTTGAGGAAGGGATCCAACTTTATTCTTTTACATGTAGATATTGAGTTGTCCTAGTACCTCCTGTTTGTTGAAAACATTATTCTTTATCTCATTGAATAATCTTGGCACTCAGAGTGATCTTTGTAAAATAAACCCTCCCCTTTAGCTCTGTGTTCTCCTCCTTTCCTTGAAAGCCTCCGGTATAACTAAAATGAGATGCAAAATCTTTATGAGTTTTTATGATAATGCTGTATGGTCTAGACTGTGCTTGTCTGTCAAAATTCACCTCATATAATTCTTCTCCTTTTTACTACCCTCCAGGTACACTAACTGCCTTTCTGTTCTTCAAACACGTCAAGCTCATTCCTATCTTGAGTTTTTGTACTAGCTAATTGCCCACTGTGGAACATTGTTTTACTCCCAACACATTGTTCTTCTAGATCTTAACATTTTTAGTTCCTCATTATTCAGATCTTAGGTTGCACATATCACATAGGTGTTAGAGACCCTTCCTCGCCAACTTACTAAAATTAGTCACCCTCCTTTTCTCCAGGTATTCCCGCTCCTGTGACCGTATTTGATTTTCTTCACCACTTATCTAGAATTCTTATTTATTTCTTTACTCGATTGACTGTAATCTTCCACTAGAATATATGTTTTATTAGGGCTGAGCTCTTATTTCTCATTATTTATAACAGTGCCTGGCTTTTTAATAGAACAAAGCTTGCATGCAGCATGCATTAACTACGGGGAAGGAGAGCGCACAATAGTAAGGACTTGGCAGTGTTTCTTCATCCCTGTCCATTATAAAAGCAACTGGTATTCTGGGCAATGAAAGGATGGTTTACAAGTAAGCAGGTCTCTGTATTTTTACTGACACTCTGTCTCTAAGAATATCATTGAAAAGTCTAAACATGTCTAGCATTTTACACCTCCAAGGTGAGCCATGGTGAATTCTGGCAGATGACAATGCCAGTTAGCCTAGATTCTTGAGGATGAGCTGATGGACTGAGGAACCTAAGCCTGAGTTCTTAAAAGTTGGACTCAGATTGTCCCTCTGACTGTATGTAGCTATATATTGCTGGTAAACAGTTAAATTCATATGTTCTTCAGATTTTTCTGGTCTGTGCAGTGGTTTTCAAACTCTTGTAAGGGCCTGAGGGCTGTGCTTTATATCTATTTTATTCATTTTGTTACAAAAGGATGCTGTTGCTGGGAAAGAAAAACGAACGAGGCAAAAGTTTGAAATCATAGGTCTTTATGAGATATCTTTTAGAACTCTCTAGTTCTTTGTATTCCAATTATGTGTTCTGCAAATAATTATCTTGAAAATAAATATCAGCATTTCTTTGGATGGTAAGCACCAGAATTCAGTCACAGAGAAGATATTTCTCCATTATTAATTGTTAACTAACTCTTTAAGAGCAACATTGGATGACAGTGGAAATGATATATTCAATGTGCTGAAAGAAGACAAACGGCTAACCTACAGTCCTGTTCCCAGAACAATTATCTTTCAAGAATGGAGCAAAATAAAGTCATTTTTTAGATTAATTAAACTAAGATTATTTCCTGCCAGTAGACTATCATTAATGGAAATTCTAAATAAGGATTTTGAAAAGAAGGAAAGTGATCCCAGATGGAAGGAAGAGTGAATAGATACAGTCAACAATATTAAATGTTGACTGTATCAGATAATAACATTATCTTTGGGATTTAAATAAAGAACATTAGCATATGCAAAAAATAACATAAGATAGGAGGAAAGTAAGAGTCTAGACTTAATTGTTTAAGAAATGGGTATTAACTTCTGACTTTGATAGTAGTAGTAGATGTTATAGTTTTTATAACTTTATCCAATATGGTAGCCAAATGGGGATATTAAAATTTTAATGTAATTAAAAATTTAGTTCCTGAGTTACACTAGACATATTTCAGTTGCTCAGTAGCCACAAGACTAGTGGATATCTTATTGGGCAACACAGATTTGGAGTATTTCCATTATTGCAGAATGTGCTATTGGAGAATGCTCTTTTGGAATAATCATAAAAAGAATAGAAAACATAGTGGGTAATTTCTAGATTAGTAGAAGGGGGAAAAATTAATCCAAAAAGAAGGAAGAAAGAAGGGGTTAGGGAATGTTGATCTGATGGGATGGAGAATGGTAGATTTAATAAATTCAGATATATGAATACTTATAGTAAGTATAAATAAGAATAAATGCTCCTGTTAAAAGACTGATTCTGAGGCTGGATTAAATATATGTATATATATATTTGCTATTTAAAGAGATCTATATAAAACAATATGAAGTTAAACAGATTACAAGTAAAAAGAGGGGAAAAAGATGCCGTATCATCGCTAATCAAAAGAAAGCTGGTGTACCTATAGTACTATCAGAAAGAATAGACTTAAACTTTAAGTCAAAAAGCATTACTAACAATAGATTGTTTAATTTGCTAAGAAGATATAATCATTTTAAATTTGTATGTGCCTGGAGACACCTGGAAAGTAAAAACCCTGATTGACTGTTCATTACTTGGACCTCTGGGAACTGTCGCAAAGAGTAAAGGTCAGTTTTTGACAATGAAAATAAAATTTGTATGCATCTAATAACATAACCTCAAAGTACATAAAGCAAAATTTAATAGAATTACAAGAAGAAGTAGATAGATCATCATACTGGAAGATTTTACTATACATTTCTTTGTAATTGCTAAAAACAGAAAAGAAAACCTAATGAACATACATTCTTCTAAAGGAATTTAATAAACTTTATTTTTGAGTAATTTCAGAAACAGGAAAGTTGCAAAGATACTACAAAGAATTCTTGTGTACTCCGCCCCTTTTTCCCTAATCTTATGTGACCTTGGTACATGTGTCAAAACTTAGAAATTTAATATTGGTACATTACTAGTAAATATATTACAATCTTCATTTACATTTTACCAATTTTTCCGGTAATTTTTATGTTGTTGTTCTAGAATTCAATCCAGGGTATCAGATTGCATTTAATCATCTTATCTTCCTAGTCTCTTTCTGTCCATGACATTTTTTCAGTCCTTGTTTTTCATGAACCTGACTATACCTTCTTTTTATACATATGAAATTTTAGATTTCAAGACTGAATTTATGAAGATGTCAGTTCTCACTAAAATAAATTTTAGTTTCAATACAACCCCAAACAAAATCCCAGCAGGTTTGTGGAAAGTAGTTGCAGAATATGACAAGTTGATTCTATAATTTATATGGAAATGCAAAGAGCTAGGATTAGAAGCCAAGATATTCTTGAAGCAGAATAAGAAGGGAGGACTTGCTCTTCCAGATACAAAATATTTTATATATTGTAATTAAGAATTAGATCAGTGACAGAATAGAGAGGCCTAAAAGACCGTGCATTTATAGACAGAAATAGGGTACTGTAGAGCAGTGAGGGAAAGGCAGTTCTTTCAATAAAAGGTGCTAAGACAATTAGATAGCCATTAGATATGTAATTAAATAGCTAGTTAGATAGCCAATTCAAGTTTCTAATTAGATATCCAGTTAGGAAAAAAATGAAATTATTTCTCCTAACTTACACCAGAAAATTCTATTCCATGTGCCTTGATGTTTAAAAGATAAAACTCTGTAAGTTTGAGAATATTTCTTACCTTAATGATAAAAGGTTTATAAAACAAGACATAAATGCATTAATCACAATGAACATCAATAGTACATGAGTACTATAAAATTGAGAAGTTGTTTGTCTAAAGAAATAAAGAGAATGTAAAATTGAGCCACAGAGTAGAATCATTATATAACATGATTGCATGTTATATAATGAACAAAGGATTAATTTTCAGAAGGTGTAAAGAGCTCCTATAAGTAATTTTTTAAAAGATAAACAACCCAGTAAAAAGGGGCAAATGTCTTGAACAGCTATTCTTTGCAGCTACTCTTTGTTTGAACAGGAATTTAACAAAAATGGATATCCAAATGGCCAGTGAACATATAAATGAGTCATCAGGGAAATGCAAATTAAAACCAAAATGAGATAACACTATACATCCATCAAAATGCCTAACATTTAAAAGTCTGACAATACTAAATGTTGGAGATGTGCAATGTAGGGGATTCTTGTTCCCTGCTGATAATGTAAATTGGCTGTCTACTTTGGAGAGCAGTTTAGAGTTATCTAGAAAAGTTGAGGATAAGCATATCCTAAGTCTCAGGAATTTGACAAGGCATATTCCCTAGAGAAACTCTTGATATGTGGAACAGGATAAATGTACAAGAATGTTCATAGCAGTATTATTTGTCATAACCTCAAACTGAGAACAACTTAGATAGCTATCAAAAGATGAATGAATAAATATAATACGGTATATTCATACTATAGAATACTATAGAACAGTAAAAACAAAGAATAGCTGCATACCATTACATATAACTGCCTAGCGTGTATATTTTTTCTTATTTGATTTATTGTTTGTCTTTGCTCCAGAATATAAACTTTATGAAAGCATAGACCATTTATTTTGTTCACTGCTAAGTCTGTACTTCTCTAACAGCACCTGGTACATAGTAGTGCATGAAAGGTACCCGAATGAATTAATTGAATGAAATATTAATGTAGAGGTTTGGTCTACGAAAACTTGAAATTTTGTATTGTTCATTGCTAGTCTATAGAAGTACAATTCATTTTTTATATTGATCTTGTATTTATTATTCTATTGTGGATTTTGCGGATTTCTTAGGATTGAAAATTCAGATATTTTGGAAAGACAATTAAATTGATTCACTAAAGAAAATTGCTCTAAACAGTAAAAGTGTTAAGAAAAATAATGAAAATCTAAAGGGATTACACCCTTAAATTGCTTCTTAAGGGTCTAAGTTTTCATTTTAAATGAGTGAAAGCTGGAAGTCATACTCTTGGGTGGTTTACGTAGACTCATAGCCAAAAGACCTTCTTTTAAAGAAAAGGCCTTATTAGGCTCTGCATCAAAAGATTGCAAAGTGAATACATTCATGTGTTTTTAGTTAACATGAAATGTTTAAGACATGTATATAATCTTTTGTACAATTCACTGCTTTTTCAATTAACTGATCTTCTCAACCAACCATCAGTCCCACTTGCATGATTAAAGAGGCTTTTACTATCCCAGGATTTTGCAGGAACAAAGAAAATAAAGTACAGCCTAGAGCAGAGCAGTGGTTCTCAAACTTTGCAATGCAGCACTGGAATAAAACTTAGACAATTGAGAAGCAACTTGAGCCTACAATTCTTTTAGATCCCTTTAACAAGCTCCCCAGTTTGGGAAATACTGTCCAGAGTATTACAAGTACAGATCTATGTCAAGACTTGTGGTATTCAAAGAATAAGTATTCAAGAAGATCATTTGGATGTGGAAAGCAAACATTGGCCCTCTTATTTTTTTACATAATTGTGTTAATTTGTGCTTGTTTTATTATGCATAGATCATTAAAACAATAGTAGATGTAAATTATAAATATATTTTAGGGATGAGAGGACAATCAAAATAAGTTGGTTAGACAGCAGAAACCTATTTTTTTTTTTCAGTAATAAAAGCAAAGTATAATGGAGAAAGAGTAGAGATGCCCAATTTTATTTTCCTATAATTTAAAACTTTGCATTTACTTTTCTACTGTACCTCCAAAGACAAAGATTAAATAAAAATCATAAAGCAAATACTGTTTCTAATTAATATGTACTAACTTTTCTTTAGGAAAATAAGGTTAGTTATGTGTACTCACCTCCACTATACTTTGCTAGGAATCATGGAAAAAACTTTAGTCCCATAAATTAATATCTTTAGATTTGCCTTGCTTTAAACGCAAAAACATTTGTGTTTTAGAAAAAAAAAAAAACCCTGATATTTTCTTATTTTTACTCCTGAAATAATTTACTTTTAATTTTAATCACTTAAATGCATCTTTACAACCTTAAGAAATAAAGTTGCATGTAATAATCCCATTTAATTATTTTTTGCATAATTAAAATACAGCTAAACAGTATTTTGTTATAGCTATAAACAAATTTGGAAATTGTTGGGTATTGATTTTTTTCATAAGAAATATTTGTATATTTAACATTGTATTAGAATAAAACTCTGAAGAGCGATATGGGTTTCTTTGTTATTGTTTTTAATCTTATCATGATTAGTGAGACAGTTATTTGTTTTCTAGATTGATGACATTGTAAAAGCTGTTGGTAACTGCAGCTACAACCAACTAGTGGAGAAGATCATCTCTTGTAAACAGTCAGACAATAGTGAGCTGGTTAGTGAAGGTGGGTGAGTGCTGCTATTACCTGATTTATTCTTGTAGAATAACTTCTCTGATAATTTAATATCTTTTAAATGTCTTAAATAAGACTTCTAAAATACAAGTAACTATACTTGGTAGGAATTGAAAGAAGAAATTATTCATAAAGATGCCAGCTAGAACCCTTTCACTTGACTTGTAAAATCAGGACTGGATTCTAATAAAAATCTTTGGAATCTTGCTAGCTTTGATGTGGTCAGTTACCCAGGGGTTACTGATAGTTGCTCTTTTTTTAAAAAAAGATTATTTGGGAGTACTGTGTGAACTTTTTAATTCATCCTGAACACTCAGTTGACTGAGGTGAGTATTATGGTACTCAAGTGTTCAATACAATATAGTATAGTAAAAGCTCCATTCTAGCTCAAAGTGTACCTCTGCTCATCAGTTTTCTTAATCCTTAGCTAATTAGAATTGCTAAATTCATCATAATAGAAGCAGTTTCATATTTTTTCAGCTGTATTCCAGTCAGCGAAGGGAAGAACAAACAGATTTGAAACCAGAATGATATCAGGAACCATAGTATTTGGATATACTTTTCCCACCACTCACTTCACCTTTACATAACAACACTCAAGAACTAAGGAAGCTATTCTCCTCTATTAGGAGGGTAAATAAAAGAAAGAGAAATCATGAGAAGCAGGGGGTGAGCTTCATTATTCTCTGACATACAATTCTTTTACATGAAGTATAATAAAAGTTGATTACAATTACTACATTTTTAAAAATTAAAAATAAGTGACTACAAGAGTATATAAGAACATATAAAAGAAGGTGTATACATGAATCCATACTATATCGATTGATCAGAACCCAACTAATTATATTACTCAATTATCCATAAATTTAACACATTCATGCAAGAGGCAAGTAGCAAGGAAATACACAGTATTTTAGTTGATGCTCATCCTAGACTTCTACTTGCATTAAACAAAGAAATATATAGGGATATTGACCATTGACAGCTCTTTCACTAAAATCTAAGGTAGCACAGTTTTAGTGAGGAAAGGAGCAACAATAACTGTTAAAAATATTTTTTCTCAATTAACAAAATTCTACTCACTAGAACTTATCCAAGCTCTCATTACTATAAATATATTTCTAAAAGTCAGGCTCTAAAGATAATTTCCATCTATGGATTTCTACTTTTCTCAGTAATTTCCAATATGCTATTTAGTAGTAATTGAGGAGACAATAGGAATCAGAAAGTGTTAACGGAATGATAGCCAAGAAGTGATCTTTATAGGTAAGAAGCTTTAGGAAACACTGTTAACAGCATTTTTCCCAAGCCAGGCTTCAATTAATGAGGTAAGATTTTGATAAAAACACTATTTAACAAATGAACAACAACAACAAAAACCCAATCCCTATTTTACTTCTCCTTTTTCTCAATCTAATGTCACAACAATTATTATTTCTCTGACATTGATTCCCCAGAATAATGAAAAACAATATTTAATTTATATAGTATTGATAACTTGAGAAAAATGTCTTGGTAAAAGCAAAAAAGGAATTATCTTCTTTAGTGGTATAGAATTTTCAGGTAGTATATGTCAGAGTTGATTAATTCCTTGATATATAAATTTTGTAATGGTGAAATTCTGTATATCAGGTTTCCATATCAGTGAATAATTATATATGGAATTCACTACAATTAAAAAGCTAAACTAGTTTTTTGTTTATAAGAAACTACAAATATGTAGTCTGTTTGAAATAATTATTTAACCCAATGGTTACTTGTGTAAGGCACTAAAAATTCTTATAGGAACGAAAAGGCCACAAGGGACATTTTTACTTATAATGGAGCAATTAGCTTCCCTTCATTTTCTTCATCATATTTTCTTGAGTATAGTGTTCAGCTGAAGTAGTAGTCTACTTTCTTTTCTTTTTGGCCTATAACCGTAACTGTCCTTCTGAATCAATAAAATATCCAAAAGGTAGTTTATTCTAATCCTTCTTTATTAAAAAGTATTAAACTTTGGTCTTAGATGATAACTTTTTTAATTCAAATATTTCATCTCTATAAGGTAAAGAACATTAGAAATACTTTTACTGTCATTCTTTTTTTGATAAAAAAGATGTTATTTAGCTGACAGTCAAATAGAATTAGATATTTTTTCAACTTCTTTCAGATGACATTCATTTTCTTTGATGGCAACACCTTGTAAGTAAAAGCACAAAACTTTTACACGTACATAACATATGTATTATTTACTACCTCTTCTTGGTGTTAATACTTTTTTGAATCTAGTTATAATGATAGGTTGTGGCACAGCGGCAAAAATCAACAACGAAAAAAATAACACAGAACCAGCTGCCAGACTTCACCAGAGCTGGTGATTTAATTCTAGGGCTCTCTCAGGAATAAGTTCTTCTTTAACAATTGTTTCTAGGTAAAAAATGTGCTTAAAGAAATAATTCTAGAATATTCTTTCAATTATTTATTGAGCCCATATTATGTGCTATAAACACTGAAGATTATAGTTTGAATTCATATTATTTTTGATTAATATTGATTTCCTTTTTTTATTTTGAAAAATCTCAGACCTATAAAAAAGTTGGCATAGCACAATGAATATATTTATATATTAAATATATATTAAATATTTACCAATTATATTTATATTTAATATTTAATTGGTAAATATATGGTTCACCTATATTTACCAATTATTAACATTGAATTTTTGCTTTCTTTTTATATTTTCTCTCTCTCTCTATCTCTCTCTCTCTCTCTCACACACATACACACACACACACACACACACACACACACACACACACACACAACACGGTTTTTCCTAAATCATGTGAAAATTAGTTGTGAATATCATAGCACTTTAACCATTAATGTTTCAACAGTTGTCCCCTAAGAACAAAGATGTCTCCAAGAACAAAGAATTCTTCTATAATCTTCAGTTATCTCAGGAAATTTATCATTGATACAATACTATTATCTAATATACTGTTCATATTCAGAATTCCCCAGTTGTGCCAATTATGCTCCCTTATAGCTTTTAAGTTTTCAGAGTAGGTTCCAATAAAGGATTATTTGTCGTATCAATTTAGTCTCAAAATCTAAAACAGTTCTCTAACCTTTTTTTTTTCTTTTCTTTTCGTTCTTTTGTGATGTTGACTTTTCTTAATAGTCCAGGCCAGTTTTGTAGAATAGCTCTCAATATGGATTCATGTAACTGCTTACTCATGAGCAGACTTTGGTTATATGTTTTTGGTGGGAATGCTACATAGGTGACATTGTGTCTTTCTCAGTGCATCAAATCAGATAGTATATGATGTCTGCTTATTCTGTTATTGGTGATGTTAACATATTTTTTGTTGTAAAGATGCCCTTTGCCCTTTGTAATTAATAAGTAATCTGTGATATTATACTTTGAAACTGTGTAAATACCCTGTTCTCTAATAATCTTTCACCCAATAGAGCTGGCATTCATTGATTCTTGCCTGAATCAACTATTACTATGGTGGTTTGCTATTTCTATTATTCCTTCTACATTTATTAGTTGGCATTCTTATGTTAAAAATAGTTTTCTCTTCTTTTTCCCCTATTAAAAATTTTTTTATCATTGTAGACTCATGGATTGTGTGTGTTATTCAGCATATTACAATCTATTATCATTATTCTTTTTGATGCTTAGAATTGTCCATATATGGCCAATGGGATAGTCTCATGTCGTCATCATTTCTTGAGCACTTCGTTGTTTTCTAGCACAGTAAGATATTCCGGGCTCCCTACTGTATACTTGGAATCAGATCATGTTAGCCCCTATATTTTCAAAGAAAATCTGGGCATTTATCATATTAAAAGATTTTTTTTGCCCCTCTTCTTAAGGAAAAATATTAATATAATGTGTCTGATTTTTGAAACTTGACAGATGAATTTAAAAAGAAAATCAGACTATTTGTTTAAAGCTATCACAGTGACACAGTTAAAGTTTGATTGACTTTAAATTTGAACGCAAATCTCAGGCAGGGCCACATCTAGCTAACATTTTAAAACAAGCCAGTTTCCATTTATCTTTTATTTTGTTCCTTTTTGCCTAATTTTAGTGCCCCTCTTTCTAACTTCAAATTTTTTAAGGCACTCAGTACTTTCATTTTCTCTAATTAAACTCTTCAGTAATAGAAGAAAATAACTTGATAAACTAATTTTAGTATTGAATTTCTGAAACTAAGAAATATTTTCAAACACACTAATGTCAGGGAAATAATTTTTAATTTAAATTTATTTTCAGTAATGTAATTTTATTATTACCGTTATATTAATTTTTACCTTTAGTATCATTAATAACAATATCTATAACAAAATTGAAATTTAATCTTAATGTTGTGAATAAACTATTTGTCATTCGAAGTGATGCAAATAATCAAACTACTTTGTAACTCTAAGAATTGTATACCATTGGGGTAGAAGGCTAGGTGAAAAAGGTGAAAGGATTAAGAAGTACAAATGGTTGTTACAAAATAGTCAGAGGGATATGAAGTATGGCATAGGGAATATAGTCATTAATATTGTAATAACTATGTATAGTGCCAGGTGAGTAGTAGACTAATTGGGGGGATGGCTTCATAAATTATATAAATGTCTAACCACTATGCTGTACAGCTGAAACTAAGATAAAATAATATTGAATGTCAACTATAATTGAAAAATAAAAATTAAAAAAATTATTTACCAAAATTTGTTTAATTAGTTATGAAAAGTTGAAACTAGTTTAAGCTTTCGAAATTCAACTAAAATCACAGTAGTGTCACTGTTTAAGAGTTTATAGAAGAATTGGGAAACATTGTTCATTATATGTCTAAATTACTATGCTTTATGGTTTGGGAGAAATACAATTCAGTTTGCATTTGTAATAACAAACAGTAATTTTTTAAATTTAATACCAATAATTTTCAGTTCCAGTCTCCACTTTTCTTTTTTCTTTCTTTCTTTTTTTCCTGTTTTTGTTTTTGTTTTTGTTTTTGTTTTGAGTTAGGCCTGTTTTTTCCTTTATTTGAGGACTTAAAAAAGCTTTACCAGTCTTCACTTTTCTGTAAATAGTTTTGTCCTTGAGCAAGTCACTTATTCTCTCTCAGCCTCTGTCCCATTCTATAGAAAAAAATAGCTGAGAAAGACCTTTCTAGTGTTGAATTTTTAAAATTTCACACACATGAAAGTAATGTGCTGTATCTCCACTGAATTTTTGTATCTTGAAAGGGAATTGTAGAGGGAATGTTGTGTGAATGAGGTGCGGGAAGGGCATTTAGAAACATCTTTCTGAAGAAAGTGTTTAGTATCACAGATATTATAGACAGCAATGGTACTCCTCAGCACAGGCATTATATTTACTTTTTAAATGATATATAATAGTCAGTACTTCAGTATATAACCCATACATTCTACTCAGTAACTCAGTACTTAGCAAAGTAATGACAGTAATGGAGTGGAGAACTCTTCTTTCTGAATGTGTAAACCCAAGGAGTTGTAAATGTGCTATAAATTTCCTTTGGCTATGGCCTTCTGTATAACTTTTTATACTTCCCTGCCTACCATAACCAATTCTTTGGAATAGTGTGATATATTGGTCACTTTTTACAACTACTTTCCAGCTTGAAGTGGTGTGGCTTGACACTAAAGGTGAGGGATGGAGAAGTAGTGGAATAAACCTATACTCTCTAGCTGCCTCTAGCCCTACCAAGTTTATTTTCAATTTCTTGTTGAGGTGTCAATTTCTTAACTTAGGTTCATCTTTACCCCCTATATTTGTATCTCTCTGCTCACTTATAAAACTTTTTAGAGCACTCTCTTCCCCCCTATTATTTCTGAGATATTTATTTCTTGTCTATTAAAGGAAGGGAACAAAAGGAGGAAGAGAAAGAAGTATAGTATAGGCTTTTAAAATTTATACAGTTGATTCTCATTATTCCCAATAGTTAGTTATGTTCTCTAAAGTTGCTGTGAACACTGAAATAGTGAATACTAAAACACTGCTCCTAGGGGAAACATTAAGATTAGGTTCCTGTGAACTTTTGATCACAAGATTTTTGTCAACTGATAAATATACAACCTTGTTTTATGTGCCTTTCTGTTTAGAGACACCTTATTTAATATATATTGCTGATTGAGTACTGTAAAACTCATGGCTAACAGCAAGCAGTATAACTCACCTGAACAAGATGCAAAAATATATATTTTCTCTGTAAAGCACATCACAGCCTTTGTGCACTTAGAAACACTAGCCAGCACTTCAGCAATATGCTTGGGGGCCATTTTACACAGTAAAAATCACCTCCCCCCACCCCCCAACAAAGCACAAAAATGTGAAGAATGTGGCACTAAATAGAGTGAAAAGCACACTTATTTACACTATGAGAGCTGAAACTAGAAGGCAGGGTTTTGCCTTGTTTGATCTCGGGAATGTACGTTAGGTGACTCAAATTTTTTGTTGCTTTGCACAGATCCAGAAATGACCCTGAAAGTACAGGAAGCATTGATTTTGGAGTTATAAATTTTAGCTAGTAGGCAAATTTGCAAATATGAACCCATGCCAATAATGAAGATAAACTGTACACGTATCTTTTAAATTAAACCTCAGAAAACTTCTTTATATTTCATTATGTTTTGAAAATAAAAGATCATTTGTATTTCTGAACTTGATATATCTATATAATGCAATAATATAAAGAGTAGCATGTGTTGGAGGAGATTAGGATAAAAACAGCATCAGTTATCCCCGTTCTCTATTCACTTTTACGCCTATTTTTAGTTTTAAGACAAGAATTAAACAGTTTATGAATTGAGTATTATCTGGGACCTTTGTTGAAATCTTAAGCAACTCAATTTTTTAAGGCTACTTTTAATTTCTAAACACCTTCCCATTGAGGAAGTAGCTGTTGACATACATCTTTTACTCCTACATAATTTTAAAATTGCAATCTCTTGCCTTCTTGTTTGTTTTACTGGGTTTTAGTAGTATTCTGTGTGTTTTGTTGCAAACTACCTGAAATCCTTTTCAGAAATAGGTGAAGTATAAGTAAATACATTAATCGATAAAAAGAATTTCATATGACTGTTTTTGTTTTTTTTTTTTAGGATGGGAATAACTATAGACACATCTTCCAGAATAAAAGAGTAGAATCTCCAGTTTAGAGCTATCATGTTATAGTAGGAAAAGTCTTATTTTGACTGGCCTTTCTTCATACTTAGAACACAGTGTAAATAGAAAACCTTAATTTTGAAATTTTTCTTCCATCTAATATTATGCATTGGTTCCATAGGCTTTGTAGCTGAGCAGTTTCTAAATAACACAGCCACTCAACTGACATACCATGGATTATGTGAACTAACTTCAACGGTTCAGGAAGGAGAACTTTGTGTGTTCTTTCGGAATAATCATTTTAGCACCATGACCAAATACAAGGTATGTTATAGAAATAGCTGTTTAATTGTTATTGGAAATTAAAGAAGCTTGATTTAGAGATGTCTTATCTGTTTCAAAATTAAAAAAAAACAAAAACATAATGTTTCTTAACCATCAAATTATGAAGGTAATTTATAATTAAATATTTTTTAGGATGGAATGGATTAGCTATTTAAGTGTTATTTCAAGTCAGTTTTTTGTTTTTATTTAAATCTTAACTCCTTTTTCACAGATTATTGCATTAAAACATATTTACTATTTCCTTTCTAAGAAAAAAAAAGATAAACCCTGGAGATAGAACTAGGATGACTACTAATGATGGATGTTTATATTTGAGGGCTAAAGGAATTTAGAAGAAAGAATCAAAATTTTTCTTTATGATAGTGTTTGCTATTATTAAAATTATCAGTGTGACTTTAAATTCTTCTTATGTTATTTATGGCTCTGCCAAAAAATCTTGCCGATTCAACTTTTTTGTTATCTCTTTATCCATACCTTTTGTTTTTACAGCTGTCACCTAATTTGGGAGTTTATCAATTTATACCTAGTCTTCTGTGGTAGATACTGCTCTGATCACATCAAAAACATATCAAAAATGTTCAGTAGCAGCCAGTGCTTAGAGGATAAAAAATGCAAGGTATTTTTCTTCTGTCCTGTGCCAACACTTTGCTTCAACCATAATGGTTTATCTACTCATTAATAATCTTCCATATCCTTACACGCTTTATGCTTTTCCATTTCTGCACCTTTATTGCCATTTATTACTCTTTAATTCCTATTTGAAAAGATCTCACTCCTTTTGCCTATCCAAATTTCACCTTTTAAGAAATGTTTCAAATACCAACTCTTCAGTAAAGCTGCTTCTCTCCTTAAACCAGTGGTTCTCAATCCAGATTACATGCTAGAACTACCTGGAGAGCTTTTTAAAAAATAACCAATGCACAAAGCCCACCGCCAACTCTAATCAGAGTCCTTGGAGGTGAGACCTGAGCATCAATACTTTTTAAATGCTCCCAGGAGATTTTAATGTGAAGGCTAAGGCTGAGGATCACTGCCCATCCTTCTCTATTATGGGCCATGTCATCCTTACTTTGCTCTTACCTAGTTACCAGTTTTCTTTGTAAATGTATCTTATTTATCTACATGAAAGTAAGTTTTCTGAAGTCAGGAATCAGGTCTTCATATTTCCTTCAACACTTTAATCAATGAATTGCACAAAGTAGTGTAAAATAATGATTTGTTTGCTTATATAAGAATACTTTAAAGTCCTAGCTTTCCTACTCCTATATTAGTTATAGCAAGGGTTCATCTGTATTGTTTCCACATTTGAGCTAGATGTGTGCAAAGTATGGGCCCAGAGTCATTCATATTCAGAAATATAAGGCCAAAGAATCTCAGAATCAAAATTATTGCTACATAGTAATACTGGTAAGTCACCTTGTTTTACTTGATCTCCTCAAGTCCACCCTTTATTCATTTAACAAATAGCTGTTAAGCCTGATGATGCCTGGGTACTCAGCTAAGTACTAGGATTGCAGCCTAAGCAAGGAAGCTATGGTTTCTGCCATTTAAGGACCTCTTATTTTGGCAAGGAATTAATTGCACAAATAGTAATAATTGCACAAATAGTTATTATTTCTACTGAGATACACTGTCTAATAAAAGCACATACAACATGCCGTGAATGCTTTTATCAGGACTTAGAACCTAGTTGGGGATGTCAGGAAAGACTTATTTGAGAAGTATCATTTAAACCAACCCTGAAAAGTGAATCTTCATAATCAATTAGCAAAAATAATTAATAATAATAATAACAACTAAAGTTAACTCAGCAGATGGAACATGTGTGCAAAGGCCCTGAGGAGGGAAAGAACTTAACTCCTTAAGGAATTGAAAGAAGACCTGCGTGGCTGAAGCTTAGAAAGTAAGAGGCATAAAATAAGACTAAACTGATAGGCAAGTACCATATCTTGTAGTCTTGAGTTAAAAGGAGAAACAGACTTTGGTGTCCTGATGGCCTAGTGGTTTTTTTTGTTTGTTTTTGTTCTTTTTTTGGGACTCGGCAGGAACATGATAGTTCAATAGGAAAACAAGTTCTGTGGCTGTCATTGGTGATTGTTATACCATCTCCCGAAACTGACCTCTAGATGTTCTGTTTTCTATCAAAGCTGTATCCCTAACCAGGAAGTCCTTTACTAATCAGCTAGGTATTCTCAATCTTCCTATGTAGTTGGGGTGGAGATGTCTCTCCTGAAGCACTTTCTATCATGTGTCCATTTCTGGACTAACTACACCTTTCTATGAAATAATGATAGCTCAGAATGTGTGCATTCTACTGTTTCTTTGCTTCTAAATTTTTCTCAGTTTACCTTATTCTGTAGCTAAACAATGTGTCACTAGTGGTGTGTGTGCCCTTGCCCCTTTTATACCATTAAGGTGCTGTGGACTTTGAAGTAGAGTGGATGGGGATTTAATTAAGAGATTATTGCAGGAGGCCAAGTAAGAGGTTATAGTGACTTGGACTAAGATGGTAAAGAAATAGAAACTAGACAGAATCCATAGATATTTAGGAGATATAATCAACCAGATTTGGTAATTAGGATGTAAAAAATAAGAAAGAATGATTTCTGAATTCTGAGCATGAACAACTACATGAACAGTGGTGCTCTTTATTGGACCAGAGAATACTAGAAGAGAAGAAAGATATTATGAAATCAGCCTTGGAACTATTAGAGCTGCTTCTGAGGCACACTTCAAGTGGAAATGTTAGGAAAATTGTTATAGACGAAATATTTTTGTGTACAAATAGTAATTAGGGGAGAGGATGAGATTTAAAAGAAAAAATAGGGAATGAGAAGAAAAGAGAAGGCCTAGGAAGATTTGATGAGTGCCAACATTCAAGGATCCAACTAGAGAAGTATGAACTAGCAAAGGAGACTGAGAAAAAAAGAATAAAAGGAAAATCTGAAGAATATGGTATCATATAAGTCAACAGGAGAGAGTGTTTCAAGAAGAATGGAGATCTCAGTTGTTAAATGCTGATAAGAAATAACACTGGGAGAGGCGGGGAAGTGTCCATTGGTGATATGGATTTCATTGGTACCTTTCAGAGAATGGTGGCAGCAGAAAACATTGAATTCGAATTGGTTAGGAAATGACTGAGATGTCAGGAACTAGAAATATAAGCAACTCTTTGAAATAGTTTGTCTGTGAGGGCATAGATGTGATGTCTTATAGCTGTAGTGGAGTTTGGAATCCAGGGAAGATTATTTTGTTTTTGTTTTTTAATATGAGAGACTTGATCATGTTTAAATACTGAAGGACTCAATAGAGAAAAAGGTTGAAGATTCAGGAGAGGGGATAATTGATGTTGGAAGGCTACTAAGGTGAGAAACAATAGAAATTTTCACAGGTGAGGGGGATTGACTCTTGATTAAAAAAGAGACCTTAGTAAGACTAATTTATTGTGTGCCTATTATACTCATGACTTACTTTTAACAATTTCAAAATTATATTGTTTTCATTTGTTTTTATATTTTTGCTTATACTTCAATATGCATCTCTAAACAAGAACATTTTTCTTTCAAATCATAGTACCATTGTTGCATCCAACAAAATTAACTATAATTTTAATATCATCTAATACCCAGTCCATATTCAAATTTCCCACTTGTTCCCATGTGATTTTATGGTTGGTTTGTTCAAACCTGGATCTAATCAAGAACCATGCATTACATTTGGTAAAATAACTCTTTTTTTTTTTTTTTTTTTTTTTTTAGGCAAGGCAACCCTTGGTTGACCTCACAGATTGTAAGGACCTTGTCAGCTTACAATCCCTTATTTTTTATTTTTTACATCTACAGCACCTGGTCTTCCTAGGTGGTCTCCCATCCAAGTACTAACCAGGCCCGACCCTGCTTAGCTTCCAAGATCAGACAGGATTGGGCTCGTTCAGGGTGGCATGGCCGTAGACATAACTCTATTTTAATATAATGCAAATCTTGTGTATTCCAGGAATCTTATTAGTCTTTGGGCTATTTATTTATGCCCCATTATAATTCTCTCCATCCTATTTCGTATATTACCATTGAACTATATTTCCAATGCTGAGAGTCTTTAAATATGACACTGCTTTACTTCTGGCAGAGTATCCAATGCGTACATTCTTCACAAGAGTCAAAGACACTTTTCCTCCTCATTGACTCAATGACTGATTAACTAGATTTACAAGAAAATCTACAACAGTTCTTTGGCTGTTGCTATAGAACTAAAAGCCCTAAAGGAATACTTAATAAAATTGAGGAAAGGTTCCTCCAGCATATTATCCGTTTGCTTAATAAGGAAATAGAATAGAAGATTGTGCCTCTGTTCTGTTAAACCTGTTAAGCATTAAAACCGTTATTCTCTACCACTAATTCCTGGGTTGTTAAAGTTTCTATAGTTCTTTATAAACTTGAGTGCTAGGGAATCTAATGTGATCTAATAATGGTACAAGTAAGGAAAAACTAGAAAGCTGCTTTTTCAAACAAGATGTGGCTATTTATAATACTACATTAGATCTTCATAATGCCTTCTAACATCCACTTTTGAAAAACCCTGAGATTTTAGGGCCATTTTATGGATTTATATGTACTGATTACTTGATTTCCCATCTTCCTATCCCTGTGAACTCTTTGGAACACCTATGCTATAAACACAGTTTATCCCACAGAATTCAGATATACTATCAACAAAAAATAAATAAATTTAATATATGAATAGAATACTTTCTACTACATATAAATGGTGTCTAAAACTAGAGGCCTATAATAATAATAAATTGCCAGTCTATTGTTATATGCTGACAATCAGTTATAAACATCTACAACTTTATTATTAGTGGGGCTTATCTTTATTAGAATTTGCAGAAAGGATCTTCATGCTTTCTAGTACCCATATCATATCATATCATATGCTATTATCATTGCAGGACCAAAACCAACAAAGAAGTTCATATTGGC